CTCAGAAAAATAAAAATGGACTTCTACATAAATTTCACAGCAACTATATTTGCAATAGCCAAAGTATTGAAACAATACAAATGTCCATCGACAGTTGAATGGATAAACAAATTGTAGTATATTCATACAATGGAAAAATACCCCATGATAAAAATAATGAACTATTGCCGCCACAATATCACAAATTGATCTCAAAATTATTAAGCTGAGTGAAAGAAGCAAGACCCTACCTCACCCCTAAAAGAGCACGTACTGTATTTCCCACTGACATAAAATTCTAGAGGATGAAAAACTAATCTATAGTCACAGAAAGCAGATCAGGGTTGCCGGGGATGGGGGAGGGGAAGGAAAGATGCGGCAGTATAAATGGCCCGTACTTTCCCAGCGTTAGGGATGTGTTCATTGTCTTGACTGCGATGATGCTTTCACTAATATATATACGTGGCAAAATTTATTATAGTGCACATTTTAAATATGTGCAGTTTAATATACATCGAGTATACCCTAACAAATCAATTATTTAGAAAGAGAAATATGTAGGCAACCACTTCACCTCTGTGAGCCTCATCTACAAATGTAGTTATTATCTACACTGTTCATCTGTTGATGGTTATCATCACTATCACAGTTACTACAAAAAGACCCATCCTTATGTTAAGATCTCTGTGGCAGTTCATTCATTAAGTTAAAAGAAAAAAAAACCCCAGCCATTTCACTGGTTCCTAAGTCAATGAGCTGATTAATACAACTGACTTTACCAGGGAAATGAGGAAAGGCGTGTTGTGAAATGGCCAGATAGTACCCAACTGCTAGAGTAGCCAACTACTTAACTGTTACTGGGAAGTGTCCCTTGTGCTTGGATAAATTTGGGCTTGAATGCAATCATGGAAGATTCTGCAAATGCATAATGAGGAGGGACTATGAACCTTCCACTACTGACAGTTGGACCTGAGGCCGGTTCATTTCTCCAGACGGACTGGAACCCAGAAAACTCTATGGGAAAATTGAGTCTTCTTTCCAGGAAGAAAGGAAAGCAGGAAAACAGAAGGGCGTACTGCTTAGTGATCAGAGAGGCAAGGGGGCCAGGAGACTCCAAAAAGGAAGAAGGAGGGCAAAGAAGGACCTCAGATTTGGAGAGAAGAATAATTCCAACTTCAGGTAAGCAACTAATTTTTTTTTTTTTTTTGAGATAAATTCTCACTCTGTCGCCTTGAATAGAGTGCTATAGCATCATAGCTCACAGCGACTTCAAACTCTTGGGCTCAAGCAATCTTCTTGCTTCAGCCTCCCGAATAGCTGAGATTAGAGGCACCCACCACCAATGCCCAGCTATTTTTATTAGAAACGGGGTCCTGCTCTTGCTAAGGCTGGTCTTGAACTCCTAAGCTTATCCACTTGCCTCAGACTCCTGGAGTGCTAGGATTACAGGTATGAGCCACCAAACTGACCCAGTAACCATAATTTGTCAGGTCAGGTGGCTATCCCTAGGGCCTGGGGCCTTACCCCAAGAGAGAGGAGTCATGGGAGTGTGGGCATTCTGACACATCCTTCTCACTCCTGGCCGCCAGAGAGGCTAGCTCCAGCAAAGTGAGCTGATTAAACCTGAAGGTAACCATCTGACTTCACTGTAACTGGGAAGAGAGAAGCTGACATTAACTTTCTTTGCAGTCTTTCCTCCCCGCCTTAGTGCAAGATATGAATATTTCAGAACTGGCTTGGCACCTGTGGCTCAAACAGCTAAAGTGCCAGCCACATACACCTGAGTTGTCGGGCTCGAATCCAGCTGGGCCCGCCAAACAGCAATGACAGCTGCAACCAAAAAATAGCTAGGCATTGTGGCCGGCGCCTGTTGTCCCAGCTACTTGGGAGGTGGAGGCAGGAGAATCGCTTGTGCCCAGGAGTTGGAGGTTGCTGTGAGCTGTGATGCCACAGCACTCTACCCAGGGCGACAGCTTAAGGCTCTGGCTCAAAAAAAAAGAATATTTCAGAACTGGACTATGAGAGGTTAAGGAGAAGTTAAGGACCAAAAATGAGAGGTCATTCCAAAATGTGAACAAAAGGAAGGAGTCCAGGTTCTGTGTGGGCATTGTGGCCTTTACTTCACTTGGGTGCCAGTGGGCTGAGTTTGTAAAAGAAATCAGCACGTGGGTTAAGGCAGATGGGAATGTAAGAGTTCAGAGAGGTAGCTCGGCGCCTGTGGCTCATGTGGCTAAGGTGCCAGACACGTACACCCAAGGTGGCGGGTTCGAATCCAGCCCGGACCCGCCAAACAACAATGACGGCTGCAACCAAAAAATAGCCAGGTGTTGTGGCAGATGCCTGTGGTCCCAGCTACTTGAGAGGCTGAGGCAGGAGACTCACTTGAGCCCAGGAGTTGGAGGTTGCTGTGAGCTGAGATGCCACGGCACTCTACCCAGGGGGACAGCTTGAGGCTCCTGTCTCAAAAAAAAAAAAGAGTTCAGAGAGGTAGGGATTGGCACACTCATTCCTTCCTTTGCTGGACAATTTCATTTGGGTGGGTGCCTACATTCGGCCCTTTCAGACTGGATGCAGTGGGTCATGCCTCTAATCCTAACACTCTGGGAGGCCAAGGCAGGTGGATCACCTGCCTGAGATCAGAAGTTTGAGTCCAGCCTGAGCAAGAGTGAGACTCTGCCTTTACTGGAAAAACAAAGAAGAAGAAGAAGAAAGAAAAGAAAAGAAACAACTAGACAGGCATGTGGCAGGCACCTATAGTCCCACCTACTTGGATGGCTGAGGCAGGAGATCACTTGAGCCCAAGAGTTTGAGGCTGCTGTGAGCTATGATGCCATGGTACTCTACTGAGGGTGACACAGTGAGACTCTGTCTCAAAAAATAAAGATATAAATAAAAAATGGAAAGCAAAAAAAAAAGAAATAAAATAAAATAAAAAATAATGAAAAGCAAGTTGTAGGAGAGCTAAATATGTGTGTGCGTGCATTCATATAAACTTGACTAGTTATATATTATAAGGAACAGAAGGAAGGAGAGAGAATTTATAGTTAACAATGATTTATCTCTAGAGCATAAGATGAGGATAGTAGAATGACTTCTCTTCTTATTAAATATTTTGTACACTTCTGTACTATTTATATCTTATTGGAATATATATATAGCTATTTTATTGTACAAGTAATTATCGTAACAAACAAAACAATAAATACACAAATAAATCTTTCTAGCCAGATTTTTCTCTCTCCTAACCCTGCTCTTTCCTTTTATCCCTGAAAATGTTTATTAGTTCTCCTTTTTTACCATGCACCACCCCAACCCCTTCTCTAGAAAAGCAAGAAAAGTAATAATCATAAATGAGCAGACCCCTGGGATTTCCAAGGCTCAAAGGGGCTCCTTCTATCCCTGAGGAGCAGTGTCTTATTTCAAAGTGCTATGCCCACCCCACATTAAGCAGGAAATGCCAGATTAGACCATTGCTAAACTTACCTGGTCTCCAGGAAGGAAAACCAAACTCCACCTAAGCTTCAGAGTCTGCCAAAGGACCACCAGGGTTTAAGAGAATCCCTGCCTTCCAGCTCCTGCCCTGCCTCTAGCCAGTTGTGTGATCCTCTCTGGGGCTGTTTCCTCTGCTGAATGGAGGGCGATAGCACCACCTTCTAAGACTTCCAGGAAGATCAAATAGGGTAATGCAGTAGAAGTACAGTTTCCATTGCAAAATGCTCCACAAGCAGAGCAGGGCCTTACCAGTTTTTGCATATGAAATTCAGGAACAGACAGGAGAGGGAAGAGGGGAATAAGGAAGATGGTGGCATTTTTCTCCACCCTGGAAATCTCAAACCAAACCATGTGTGTGTGTGTCTTCATATTGGGGAGCATTCTTCAGTAGAGAGTGGGTGTGGTACGCCCACATCTTCAGAGCCCAGCCTGTAGCTGCTCCAGGTAAGTTTTGAGAGTTCTTCCAGTACGATCAGGCCACGGCACAGGGAGAAAGAGCCAAGAAAGATGTTTATTTATTTTATATATTTTGAGACAGAGTCCCACCTTATGCCCCAAGCAGAGTGCAATGGCCTCATAGCTCACTGCAACCTCAGACTCAGCTGTGGGCATACTGCTGCCTTAGCCTCAGGAAGCCACTGGGATTATAGGAGCTCACCATGGCGCCTGGCTGGGTTTTTCATTTTTTTAATGAGTCAGGTCTCACTTTCGCTCAGACAAATTCACGAGTTCAAGCAATTCTCCCACCTCAGCCTCCCACAGTATTGAGATTACAGGCATGAGCTACCATGCCCAGCAGGAAGGTCCTTTATTTTATTTTATTTTTTGCAGTTTTTGGCTGGGGCTGGGTTTGAACCTGCCACCTCCGGCATATGGGGCCGGTGCCCTACTCCTCTGAGCCACAGGCACCGTCCCAGGAAGGTCTTTTAATCTTCCCTTTCTGGAACATCATAGCAGGCAGCAGCTGGCTGGGTCTAGGGAATAGGGAAAGCCAGGCAGGATGTGGTCCAGGAAATGGGGAAAGCCAAGGGGGTATGGTCTGGGAGGCAACCCTAGAGCAGGCCCGGTGGTCTGCAGGAAAAAAAGTGTCTGGGCTACAGGAGATCCTAAATCTGCCCCTAATCTCCTGTGCCACCGTAGGCAGGTGGCCACTCCACCCTGAACTTTTTCCCCTTCTGCAAAATGATGGGGGGAGGAACTGGAACAGGACCTTCTTGGCACCCCAACAGAGGGCCCATTGAGAGCAGGGACAGGAGCCTCTGGAATTCCCACCATCCTCAATCAGGGACAGACACAGTTTCTTTCCTTTGGTTTCTGCCCTTGGGCAACCCCTTTTCCCTTCCTAGCTGCACTGGAAATCTCTGTAAACTCATTTTTCTTTCCCCCCCAGAAGAAAAAGGGAAGCCAGGGAGGCAGAGAGGAGGCAGGCAGCAGAGCATTGAGACACAATGCAGAGAAGGAGAGCCTCTGGGAGGACCTGGCACACAGGGTTACTATGAGGCCCAGGACAAAAAACACATACACCAAGATCAGACAACCAAACTTTATTTGGAAAAGCATATTAGTGTAATAATCACCACTAAACTACTGAATGAGGCACTTCAGTCTCCTCTCCCTTGTCTTCCCTCATCTCTCCCTTTTGGCCTTTGCAGAACACTATAGAAATCCTCTTCTGGGTCCACAAGTAGCCCCAGACTTTTGGGCTGGAAGCTGCCCAGATGGTCTTGGCTGGACCGAGTCCTGATGTCCAAAGAGGGAGTCTGAAGTATCCAAAAGTGCTGAGCCAGGTCAGATGGCCGCTGCTATGGCATGGGTCCTCGAGGGGGAAGGCAGGTATGCTGGGTGTCTTACAAGTCCTTCTCAACATCTGGCAAACAGAAGGACCACCAAGCCACTGGAAGCCGAGCGGGAAGGCACATCTAGAAGAGCCAGTGAGCTCTAGAATGCTACAGGTACGTCCGGATGGGTGAGGCACCATGAAGGCCAAGGAGATATCCACTCCTTATCCTTAATCCATAAGGTCACCTGACCACAGACAGCACCGGGGCTGGAGACAAAAAGAAATCCTGAGGGGGCTGGACCTGAGCTGAGGATACATCTTAGGCAATAATCTACAAAAGAAAGAAAGAACAAAAACTCAAACTGAAACCCATTGTTTAGGCTATAGGGGTACACAGCTCAGTTCCAAGTGTCCAGAATCTTGTGCCAAAATCATAGCACGAGGAGAATCAGAAATTCTCTTGAGTTGAGGCAAAATCAATCTTCACCCATCTTGGCTCTTCCTTTGGATGGTGTGGAAAGGAAGCTGCTGGGCAGAGGTCATTCCTCTCACCACCTCCCCTACTGCCAGTGAAGACTCAAACTTTCTGCTGGCCCAGGCCGGTATGGTGCTGCCAGCCCAGGGAAGTGGGCCCTGGGAGAAGTTGGTATAGCCAGCCCTGGAAATCTCTATGCCCCCAGCAAGATGGAAGCCTGTAACAGAAGAACCAAAGTCATTGGGCTTCCAAAGCATCCCAACTGTCCCAGCAAACCCCACCCCAGGCTGTAGCTGGCATCAGCAGTTGGGGCTAAGGGAACAGTTATTCTTTCTGGAACATGGCAGGAGACCCTTCAAACTCAAGTGTTCTGGGATTTCCCAGAGTAGAGGAAAAAAAAACAACAGAAATAGCCACAAACTTAATAGGTACAGAATTTCAGCTTTACAAGATAAAAAAATGTTTTGGAGGTTGGGCACTGTGGCTCATGCCTGCAATCCCAACACTGTGGGAGGCTGAACTGCCTGAGCTGAGGAGTTGGAGACCAGCCTGAGCAAGAGCAAGACCCTGTCTCTAAAAATAGCCAGTCTATTTGGAGGCTGAGGCAAGAAGGATCACTTGAGCCCAAGAGTTAGAGGTTATTGTAAGCTGTGATGCCACAGCACTCTACCAAGGGCAACAAAAAAAAAAAAACTGTCTCAAAAAAAAAAAATTCTAGAGATGGATGGTAGCGATGATTGCACAACAATGTGAATGCTCCTTTTTTCTTTTTTCTTTTTTTGAGACAGAGCCTCAAGCTGTCACCCTGGGTAGAGTGCCATGGCATCACAGCTTACAGCAACCTCCAACTCCTGGGCTCAAGCGATTCTCCTGCCTCCACCTCCCAAATAGCTGGGACAACAGGCACCGGCCACAATGCCTAGCTATTTTTTGGTTGCAGCTGTCATTGCTGTTTGGCAGGCCCAGCTGGATTCGAGCCCGACAACTCAGGTGTATGTGGCTGGCACCTTAGACACTTGAGCCACAGGCGCCGAGTCAATGTTCTTAATGCCCCTAAATGGTACACTGAAAAATGGTTATGATGAGGCTGGGCACAGTGACTCATGGCTATATCCTAGTACTCTGGGAGGCTGAGGCAAGTGGTTCGCTGGAGCTCAGGAGTTCAAGACCAACCTGAGAAAGAGTGAGACCTCGTTTGTACCAAAAATAAAAAAACTAGGCTTGGCACCAGCCACATACACCTGAGCTGGCAGGTTCAATCCAGACTGGGCCCGTCAAACAATGGCAGCAATCAAAAAAAAAAAAAAAGCTGGGTGTTGTGGCAGGTGCCTGTAGTCCCACCTACTTGGGAAGCGGAGGCAGGAGAATCTCTTGAGCCCAGGAATTGGAGGTTGCTGTAAGCTGTGATGCCACAGCACTCTACTCAGGGTGACAGCTTGAGGCTCTGTCTCAAAAAAAAAAAGAAAAAGAAAATCTAGCAGGGCATTGTGGCAGGTGCCCATAGTCCCTGCTACTCCAGAGGGCTGAGGCAAGAGGATTGCTCAAGCCCAAGGGTTTGAGGTTGCTGTGAGCTATGATGCCACAGCACTCTACTCAAGGCAACAGAGTGAAACTGTCTCAAAAAAAAAAAAAAAAGGCTAAGATGATGAGCTGGGTGCAGTGGCTTACACCTGTAATCCCAGCTACTCAGGAGGCTGAGACAGACGGATTGCTTGAGGCTGGGAGTTTGAAACCAGCCTGGACAAAAAAAAAAGTGAGGCTCCCCCTTCCCTATTTCTTAAAAAAAAAGCATAAAAACATCTTTAAAAATGTTTATGATGATAAACTTTATGTTATCGTAACTTAAAAATAATTTTTTCTTAAGTAACCATATAGACAGTATCCAATGTGTATTGACCCCCCACACTATATATAGCATCGTCCTTAAGAGGCCATACTGCTAGGCTTCAAATCCTTGCTCCACCACTCTTTAGCTAGAAGACATTGCAAAAATTATTTAACCTTTTCTGGAATTTATTTTCCTCATACAGAATATGAGCAGAATATTAGAACCCACCTCAATAGGGTTACTGAAAGAATAAGTAAATGCCTGTAATATTCTTTGAGCAGTGCCAGCGCACATGTGCTCAACACCCTCACTCTAAACACCACTTCACAACATCCACAAGGAAACCTAATACCTCTGAACCTAATACCTCTTAAAAACAAGTTCACAAAAATACATGGCCTCTCCCAGTCTAGTTTCTAATCCGGAGAAGGTTGAGTTTTTTCAAAGAGCAGACCTTTGAAAGATTTCACAAAACAGTTGAATTTTCATAAAACTTTAGACACTGTGGTTATTGTCACCTCTTCAACTTGCTCTAAACAAAAACTCTTTAACTTTTCAAAAAGGAAGAGGCTCTGTGACTTTGTAACTTTTATTAAAATGCCTATAACCCCTTGGCTCTCAGAGCCATGGTTGCAGATATTCAGGTCAGAATAAACCTCTTTAAATTTAAAAAAAAAAAAATGCCTATGACCCTTTCCAGGAAACCAAGGAAGGGTCTTACCTTAGAGGCCTGGCCAGCAATTCACCCCAGCTCCAGAGAGTTTTCTTTTCTTTGGTGAGCAGGACCCACCCTACCATGTTCACGTTCAAAGCCAGGATCTCTTAGAGGTGAAGTTTCTTTAGACTTGGAAACCATCTGGATAACCTTGGCTTCATTTCTCCAACAAAGTAAAGGAATTATCAAATTCACGGGGTCTCTGGCTGGTTAGGGACAGCAATGTCCTCACTGGGGTGGGTCTCCTGTAGGAAAAATTCCCTGGGAAAGGGATGCAGCTCCCCAAATCTTCAAACAGAACACAGCCAATGGGTTGGGCTCCTTGGGAATCAGAGCAGAGACATAACAGGACTGCTTGGAATCCCAAGGTGCAGTTGTAATAGTAAACTAAATAACTAGGGCGTCTGTAACAGCTTCTCAGACCTTGACAAGCTAATGAGCATCGCCAATCTCCAAGAAGGGGAGCTAGCACCGTTGACAAATATAGTTGGCCTTGAAATTCTCTTTCAGAGGGCTATCTCCTGAGCTAGGAGCTCACCCACTCCCTTCAGGCAAACAGCATTGAACTGAGAGCACCGAGCACCTAGGGAGACTACATTCTGATTCTAATCTTATTTTGGTTGTTTCTGAGAGCAGGCTCTGGGTCTCCATCTGTAAAAAGGAGTGGGGCTCGCCCTAACTAACATTCCTCAATGGTCGGGGGATTCCTAATGGAAACAGATATAGGGGAATGAAAAGAGGGGAGCAGAAGCCCGTGCGTGGAAGCCAGGGATGAAACCTGTGTTACTGAGAAGCCAGGAAAGTTAGCCTGTGTTTGGGACTGGTCTGCATAAACCTCAAGGACAAAGGCAGAGTAGGGTGAGGCAAGAGAAGTCTCCAAAGGTATCAAGGTACAGCCCGCGGGCCTCCTACCGGCCCCCTCCTCTGCAGATGGGACCCATCCCAAGGCATCTGAACTCCTCGAGATGCGAGATGCGCAGAGGGATTGCGCAGGGTCCCCGCACAATCCCGTGCCGAAACCAAACTTCTCAAACTCCTCGTTCATCCTGGGACCAGCTGAGGCCTGTCCCCAGCTCCGCCCGTGGCTGCGCGCCTACTTTTTACAGCACCCGAGGCTGGAAGAGGGGCCAGGGAAGGGGGGTGTTCTTCCGACCGTCGGGGGGGGGGTGCAGAGAAGGGGGCCGTGGAGCAGCTGTTAGGCTGGTTCCAATTTGGAAGCCTCCCCCGGATCTACGCGGCGCCTGTCCACGTCTCGTTCTCCGCTGGGAAAAGAAAGAGGAACCGCAAGGTTTCGCCTCCTGATGGCCGGGCTGAGAGTGTCCGACTTGGAGACGGCGCGTACAGCGCGGACGTTTGGACTCTGGGCTGTAGCACTGTTGTCTGGCGGGAACTGCGCCTGGGCTTCATGGGCGCCAGTGGCAGTGGAAACGCAGGGGAGGGTGCCAGGGCGCACCGGCGCGGGGCAGCGGCAGCAGGAAGGACTGGGGGCGCTGGTCTCCGGAGGGTCCCCCACCCCGATCGGGACCGCGGCGGACGCGAGCGGCCTCACACCACCTCCTGTTTGCCCTGGCAGCGGCGGCAGCAGCCATAGAATGCTGAGAGCAGATAGAGGCCCAGGCAGAGGCCGCCGCAGACGGCGGCAGCCAGAAAGGCATGGTAGGCGCAGGGCAGCGGGTAATCCTTGAGGTTGCAGTAGCTGTGCCGCTGCGTCTGGTCGATCATGATGCCCGTCGCGGCGCCGTAGAGCGCGGCTGCCAGCAGGTCGTGTGCCACGTTGACCACCAGCCAGCGCGAGCCTAGCACAGGCACCAGCTCGTGCTTACCCAGCAGCGTGAGGAAGTAGAGGCCTAGGGTCAGCAACCAGAAGAGCACCGACACGAAGAGCGCGAAGTGCACCGGACCCTGGTACTTGCTGGTGGCGATGGTGATCCAGAAGGCGGCGCCGGCCAGCAGCTGCAGCAGCCGCAGCACGCCCAGGGGGCCGCGCAGGAAGGGCCGCTGCAGGCGCACCGCGCTCCTGGCCGCACGCGCCTGGGGCGGCGGCTGGCGCGGGGGCGGCGGGAGCATGGCCCCCGGGCGCGGTGGCGGCGGCGGCGGCGCCCCAAGCAGCGGAATGGCGACGCTTTGCTCGCGGGGACGGCCTGGCCGGGGTGCCCGTTGCGCCCGCCGCGGAGTCCTAGCCGCGATCCCCTCCTAGCACTCTTTCTTCCTCTCCTTTCCCCACCCTTCCTCCCCTCTCTCCTCCTCCAGCCGTCCTCTAGTTCTTTCTCCCTCCTCCACCCCTTCTACCCGCCCTTTTCCTTTCCCCTCCACGGTCTCCACCCCCGCTCGCTCCTCCCGGCTTCCTGCCATCTCTCTTCTCATCTCGCTCACCACCCTGGCGCCCCCCTTTCCCTGCCGCGCCAGACTCTCAGCTTGGATTCCTTCATCCTCAGGGCTGGGCCGGGTGCCCTGCCCACTCCCAGCCCGCCCCAGGCCTTCCGCCCTTCCGCCCGCGCTAAGTTTGCCACATCTGGGGCCGCCACTACCCGCCCTGCCTCCCAAGCTCCGGTCCAGCCTCGAAGGGAAGGTCAGCCTCTCCAGCGTCCAGCCTAGCCTCTGGCCAGGAGCCTTTCCTTCCCTTTCTCCTGACCTAGCGGCCTCCGAGGACTCCTGGCCATCCCCTGGCGAGGGAGAGCAGAGCTAGTCTTGAGCAGGCACTCATTCATGCCTGGATATCCGCCATATCCTGCCTAAAGCTGTGCTCGGACTCTGTCTCAGCCGTCGAGTTCCCGGCATCAATGTGAGAGATGGTTATCCAACAGAGGCCCTACCAACCCTCCCACAGGACACAAAGCATTTCATCTCCACTCTTTTACCCAAGCCTTCCTGCCATCCTCCTATTTTGCCTAGATTCAAAATCTGCTACTTAAAGTGGTGGGGACACAGACCGAGCTCCGAGAGACAGCAGAGTCCACGTGCTTAACAGCTTAAACTGGCGGCAATGGTTTTTGTACGTCCTGGTTTTCCACTTCCTTCCCTTTCCCATGCTTCCACCCAGGATGCCAATCCCACTAATCCTCTTGAATTTCCCAGATTAGTTTAGAATGCCCTGCGTTCCCAGACCTTAGCTGGCAGCAAAGGATAAACTCCTGCTTATCCTTCAATGCCTAGTTTCTTTCTTTCTTTTCTTTTTGAGACAAAGTCTCACTTTATCGCCTTCATAGAGCGCTTTGGCGTCACACAGCTCACAGCAACCTCCAACCTGGATTTAGGGGATTCTCTTGCCTCAGCCTCCTGAGTAGCTGGGACTACAGGCGTCCACCACAAGACCCGGCTATTTTTTGTTGCAGTTTGGCCAGGGTAGGGTTCGAACCCATCACCCTCAGTATATGGGGCTGGCGCTCTACCCACTGAGCCACAGGTGCCGCCCAATGCCCAGTTTCAATGCTGCCTCTTTTTGGTCCAACCTCCTAGGCTATTTACTTTTTTATTTTTTTATTTTTGCCATTTTTTGTTTTTGTTTTTTGGGGGGGCGGGGCTGGGTTTGAACCGGCCACCTCTGGCATATGGAATCAGCGCCCTGTCCGTCTGAGCCACAGGCACCACCCCAGCTATTTACTTACTCTTCTAGGCCCCCAGGTGGGCCACCCCTCTGTAGTAGGGCTGAGTCCGTTAAGTCATAACCATTGGTTAGCATGTCTTATCTATCTTTGCCTGTGCCTGGCACATAGGAGAACCTCTGTAAATATAAATGGAGTAGATAGATCGAGTGGCCACAGGAACAAATGGAACTAAGAGTGCCCATCTTGCTTTGGGGACTGTACATGCATCAGACCACCTGTAGATCCTACGCTAAGCCAGCCCTTCCTCTTCTGTTCATGATCCACTAGCCCCTGACCTAGCTGGCTTCTTCCAGCAGGGTGGCTATCCTTGGAGAAGCAAAACTATGTGGCTTTTCGGGGGGCTAATGCCACTCACTGCCAACTCAGCCCACCTACAGATACTTGAGAAAGCTCTAACATTGTATTTTAAATGACTGAATGATGTATAACACCCTTGTCTATGAAAGATAGCATGGTATGGAAGCTCTGGGTACAGGTGCTAGGGTCAGACTGCCTGGCTATGTATCACTGCTTCGCTACTCCCCAGTGCTGGAAATTAGGCAGTGGAGGGGAGGGTTACTTGACCTCTTTGTGCCTCAGTTTTCTTCTCTGTAAAAGTATTTTATCTATGTGGCGCCTGTAGCTCAGTCGGTAGGGTGCTGGCCACATATACCCAGGCGGACAGTTTCAAGCCTGGGCTGGGCCAGCTAAACAGCAATGACAACTGCAACAACAACAAAAAAGTATTCTATCCAGTAAATAGATAGTGAACCCTATCAAGGACTGGGCACTGTTTTAGGGGTCAGGGATTCATAATAAATATGTGATTTTTATTTATTTTCTACTTATTTTGGGGGGGGGCGGGGAGACAGCTTCACTTTGTTGCCCTTGGTAGAGTGCTGTGGAGTCATAGCTTACAGTAACTCAACCTCTTGGGCTCAAGTGATTCTCTTACTTCAGCTTTTCAAGTAGTTGACACAACCCCCAGCTATTTTTAGAAACAGGGTTTCAGCTCAGCGCCTGTGGCTCAAGTGGCTAAGGTGCCAGCCACATACACCTAAGGTGGCGGGTTCAAATCCAGCCCGGGGCCCGCCAAACAACAAGGATGGCTGCAATCAAAAAATGGCCAGGCACTGTGGCAGGCGCCTGTGGTTCCAGCTACTTGGGAGGCGGAGGCAGGAGACTCGCTTGAGCCCAGGAGTTGGAGGTGGCTATGAGCTGTGATGCCATGGCACTCTACCCAGGGGGACAGCTTGAGGCTCTGTCTCCAAAAAAAAAAAAAAGGAAAGAAAGAAACAGGGTTTTGCTCTTGCTCGGCCTAGTCTGGAACTCCTGAGCTCAAGCAATCTACCTGCCTCAGCCTCCCAGACTGCTAGGATTGTAGGTGTGAGCCACCATGCTCCACCATGTGATTTTTATTAATTAAATTCTTACTACCGTATATTCTAGGTGTGATGATGGGTGCTTTATTTATTTAGAGACAGAGTCTCACTTTGTCACCCCAGCAGAATGCCATGGCATCATCGCTTACAGCAACCTCAAACTCTTGGGCTCAAGCAATCCTCTTGCCTCAGCCTCCCAAGTAGCTGGGCCTACAGGCCCCACCACAACACCCACCTATTTTTAGAGACAGCATCTCGCTCTTGCTCAGGCTGGTGTGGGACTCATGAGCTCAAGCAATCCACCTGCCTCAGCCTCCCAGAGTGCTAGGATTACAGGTGTGAGCCACTGTGCCCAGCTGACGGGCACTTTATATTTTTTGTTTTACTTGATCCTTACACCAATCCCATGGAACAATTATTATTCTATACATGCTAACAATTGTTAGCTCTCATTTGCTGATGGGGAAATGAGGGTTTAGACGAGGGTTGAAGTTGACAGTATGAACACCAGCCCTGGTGGAGCTGACTCTACATCCACATTCAAAGTACCTTTATATAATTTCCCACATTTTATTCTCAACTGCTGTCGCAGGAAGACCCAGAGAGGTTAAGTGACTTGTCCAAAGAAACATAACTTGTGTCATTGTTGGGACTCAAACCTAAGTCTTCCGATTGCAGTTTCAGCTCAGCATTCCTCCCTTGGCACCTGCTGGAGGGACATGCTCAGTGTCCTATGCACTTACTCTTCCCGCAATGTGGACCACCCCAGTCTTGAGTAGGGCTGCCTCAGACAGGCAGCTAGAGGCTGAATCTAGGTGCTGGACTGATGACAAGATTTCTGTGAGCGGGGGACCTAAGCCAACAAACGTAGAGAAGGGGGAGGGAAAAGGATTCTTCCCGTCTTCTAAAAAAGGCCTCCAAGAGACAGAGGATCATGGCGCCACCTGGTGGGCATAAACTTTCAGCCTCAGAAATCATGTCTCACTCCTTACAAGGAAGCACCATGTAGCGGCTTTGGGGCTGTATTTTTAGCCTCTGGAATCCTGGAATGTTTTCACATTCCAAGGTGCAGTCCAGCAGACTCTCTGGAAAAGCATAACCATCCAGAAAGATCTTGATTCGGTCCAACTCAACAAATATGGTTTAAGCACCCGCTAGATGCAAACAGCCTGGGTGTGGAAGGCAGGAATGAAGAGTGCCTAAACCCTTGCTCTCCACGTGTCTGCACGCTGCTAGCAGGGGAGGGAGGGACCGTTGTAGTCACAAAATGAAGGCATGAAGGCATAGATGAGAGTTATAAGGGAAATACAAAGGGAAGGAGAGCATATGTAAAAGCGGGCTGGGAAATCTTCCAGTGTTATTTGAGGCTGAATAGAATTTCGACAAGCAGAGATAGGAGACAGGTGGTGTTGGGCACGACAGTCCACCTTGGGGCCTGAGCATCCCTGGATGTTATTGCTGGGTATGTCATGAATGTAAGACTATGATCAATCTTTCCCCAACCATTCCTCAGGGTTATGTCAGCAGCCAGCAACCTTGAAAGATGAGGGACCATAGATGCTCATGCTGCCTTGTCCCCAAACTCCAGGAAAAGGAATCTATCTGATAGGCCCAGCTTTGGTTAGAAGTGGAGTCATGGGGTAGGAGTTGGGCTTCACAGTATGAACATGCCCACCTAGAGCCATCACTCCAACAGGATCTGTGGGTGGGAAGAGAAGGCTATTATGGGGGAGGCAGGCCTCCCAAAGCCTTTCAACTCCATTGTTGCATCTCTTGATTCACAAATGCCATGCTGTTGGCTATTTGAGTCAGGGCAGTGTCTTCTTGGGTCTCTAGTGGCTTCTGAGACCTTTGATCCTTTTGGACCATGCTAGCAGTGTTCCACTCTATCTGTGTAGGTAAGGGGAGTTATTTCTTGGCAGCAGAGAGAAAACCAAAGTTGGGGAAAATTTCTATAAGATCTTATCCAAAAACACCCTCACAGACACCCTGTGGCCCAGTCAAGTTGACAGATAATATTAACGCTCCTCCCCCCCCAAACAGATAGAGACAAGACATAGAGGAACAAAGAACAGCTGCCTATGACTGGTTCCAGGTCATT